ATATTGACATCTTGAGAGGTCAATGTCTAAAATCCTTGAAATGCCTATTTAAGAAGCAATTTTTTTTATACATGGGTAGAATTACACCTATATTATTATATTGTTGTTATTTAGAACAATAAAAATTCATGTATGATCAACCAGGTAGGCGGGTCAGAAGATATATTAATTAAGTGAGTTAGCTATTATATATATCTATCAACAAAATGTTAGCTAGTTTTGGATTTAAATACGGCTTTTTACATGAATATTACTAATTTAGAGCCAATTTCCAAAAATGTGATCACTTTTACAAAAGGACGAAAATGGACCAAGAAGGTCATATATTTGGAAAAACATAGTTCTGCCAGATTTTATGTCACTATATTTTTTTATGTCACGGATTTTATGTCACTTTTGAATGTCACTGAAGGTTTTCATGTCACTTTAATATGTCACTCCCGTCGTCAAACGTGTCACTGTGCCGCCGTCAACGTGTCACTTTACCGCCATCAAACGTGTCACTTTACCGCCATCAAACGTGTCACTGTGTCATTAACCATCTCCGCCCCAACCTCTAGCCACAATGGCACCTCCGCAGTGACATCTCCACGACCGGTGTCATTGCCGCCGTCGGTGTCACTATAATTGTCGGAAATGTAAATTTCAACCAAATTTGGCCGCCACGCGCAACGGCACCGCCACTGCCACCACACCAACCCCTATACCCGACCCCTCCTCCCCTCCCCAGCCTACCAGCCCCTCCCCAGCCCCTCCCCAGCCCACCACCCCCTCCCTAACCGTGACCTCACCAGACCTCCCCAGCTTACCAGCCCCCACTCCCCAGCACCCTCTCAGCCCCAACCCCTGCAACCACCGCATGGAATCACCACGCCGCCACCATCCGCAGCCACCACCATCACCATCCGCCACCACCACACGAGATCTGAAACCCTAACCAACCGAATCTCCATCACAATCGAAGCAATCGGAGATGTAGAGACCAAATCAACGTAGACATTAAAGCAGAGGAAGAAGAGTTAGGTCGGTCACCGGTGGATGTCGTCTCCAAGGCTTGAGATGCCATCGATGAACCATAACCGTTGTCATTGCTGAACCTTAGCCGCTTCCATCATCGTTTTTCACTTAATCATCGTCTGATGGAGAGCTTGTGTCGGAGAAAAAGAGGAAGAGAAGATTGCGGAGGATGGTCTTGCGCAGATCTTGGCCATCTTCGGAGGGAAGAAAATATGCGTGCGTAGATCTCTGCGAATAAGCTTCATTCTCACGCTGAAGAGGAGTGACGAGTCACTTTTTTGGAAAATAAAAAAGTGGTCATATTTTTGGAACTAGAAACTTAAGAAGTAATATTAATGTCATGCCATTATTTCATTTAATTATGTTACGTTCTTATCAATTTTGGGTTTCAAAAAGCAAGAATATTAAAGTATTGGAAGTACTTCTTCCCTATTTTAAAAATTGCTAAATTAGTTTTGACACATTATTTATAAAGAAAAGTAGTAGAGGTAATGAATAATGTAGAAATAATAGAAGAGATCATGTAATAATAATATGAAGGAGAAGGTAAAAAGCAAGGATAATTCAGTATTTTAATGAAAAAAATAATTTAAATATCCCAAACTTTGAAGGGTGTGACAAAATAACCCCAAACTCACACATGTAATATATATACCCAAAACTTTATATAAAAAGTTATGTTAGCACATTGACCATATAGTTTTTCATAAATGTAATTTTATGGTGTTAATTACATAATTTTAAATACACAAAACATTTATGAGGATCCAGTTAAAATAAAATTGTATTGGATGTATGAATAATTTTTCACAAATGAAATTTTAGAATGTTATTGCATTATAACAAGGCTTAAGGTATATTTTAAATTATATAATTATTCCAATAAATAATATATAGGTAAAAAGCATATAATCATGGTGCGAAAATAGCTTTTTATTAAAGTTCGGGTATACATATTACATATGCAAATTTGGGGTATTTAAATTATATCCCTCGTATTTTAAAAGGAAAAACTTACTAAAGGAGGAAAATGTAGCAGACTTTAAAATGCGCAGGAAATATGAGTTTGGTGCATTTTGCATATAGTTATAATTACAGAATTATTCTTTTGACTTCACAAATCACAATATATGGTGCACTTAAACTGTGTTTTGTTTCTGTATTTTATTACTCTCTTTGTCCTAGAAATGCTTGTTAAATGGACTTTTCTTATTTAATGATGAAAAAGATTGACTAATGATATTTTTTTAAAATACAAATTATTTTGAATATAAAAGTTACTACTCCCTCCGTCCCTGAAAATACTTCCAACTTTCCCTTTTCGTCCGTCCCAAAAAGAACTTCCCTTTCCTTTTTTGGCAAAGAATTTGTGGTTTACAACATTTCTCTCTCCTCTGCACAACTCTCAACCACACAATTCTCACTTTCTTAATCCGCGTGCCACTTTATTTTGGAAGTAAATTATGGGAAGGAGGTAGTAGTATATTACTACCTCCGTCCCACTATGTTTGAGACAAGGTGTGACACAAATTTTAAGAAAATGTGGAATTGTGTGTTTGATATTAAATTAATAAAATGAATAAAGTAATAATGAATTGTAACTATCCAAATATTATCAAATAAAGCATGAGACAAACGTAATGAGATAAAGTAATAAGGTAAAACAAGACAAAGTTAAGAATAGAGAATAAGTACAATGTTTTTTTTATTAAGATATTTTTATAAAAATACTCGGTATAATTTTTGTCAACCAAGAAATCGATTGGATGTGGCATTGTTAAATACAGGGCCTAAATGTAAAGACGGCCCAGCGGCGATGCACTTACGTGGTGGAAGTCATCCCAAGTGATTGGTAGGGAGGAGTTTGGACCGCAGCATGCGAGAAGGCGGAGAAGCTAGGGCTAATCGTCCGCAGTGAATGATTGATTGATCGATCCTCATAATCATTTAATTTGGCTCTTTCAGTTACCTCTCGTCCTTAGCTTGGCCGATCCGGTCCCTGAATTTCTTTTACCTCTCATCTTCCTCCGACAGTTTGACTTCACACAAATTAAAGAAATAAATTTAACTTTACTGTAGAGTACACTGTTGTGATACTGTTTGACACTGTTTTGATGTAGATAATTTGCAAAATAAGGAAGAGAGAAGAAGTGTGAAATTTATTTTAGACCTACCTAATAAGGAAAGTGTGAATTTCATTTGGGATCGGAGAGAGTATATCAGTCGGAGTTGTGATGACGCCATTGCAATTTACTTCGAATGGCGCTTCATCTTCGTTACATGAGCCGTATACCATACAGCCGGTTGTACGGCTTGCAATGTACAACCAGTGTCATTTTGGTAAATTAAGTGAAATTTCTAACTATAGCTAAATGAGCATTAATGCATGTTTTGAGCATCAAATTTATTTTATTGAGTATTGAGAGTGTATTAATGAGCATCGTGATATCAGCTTCATATCTTATAATTCACTTTTTTTAAATGTCTACAATGAATCCTTATGAATCCAATATGTGGATTTAATGTAATATTATACTTTTGAAATATGCATAAATATGACATTTTAAAATGAGTATTACATAATATCAAATGAGTATACATAAATTATGAAATGAGCATAAAAATCAAAAAACACATTTAAAATGTCTACTATGCTCAAAATTTCTTTTGTGTATGCTCATATTCCTACAACTACGTACTCCCTCCGTCCCTAAATAAACACATCTGTTTCCTTTTCTGGCCGTCCCTAAATAAAAATTCCCTTTCCTTTTTTGGCAAACAAAACAGTGCAAAACAGTGCCAAACAGTGCCAAACAGTGCCAAACAGTGTCCAAACAGTGTCCAACAGTACCAACCAAACCCACTTTCTTAATATGTGTGTAAAATGAATGGATACTTTTATATAGGGACGGAGGGAGTATAACTTGTGTTTCTCCTAAGTTGCAGCCAAACAAGTTACCAAACTCATCAAAAATAAAAAGGAAAAAAGGAAAAGAGTTCAAAAAAAGAAAGAGTGCAGCCCTAAACATCCGCCAGAGCCGCGGTCTCTGCGCGCAGGCTGGAGTCTGAGTGCTGCGTTCTGGCATGAGGATTGCGAGTGGCCAGTCTGTCGTTCATGAACGACGGCGAGCGATGAGTGGCCCGCGAATAGTGAAGCGAACGATCGAACGAGCAGCTGACAAACAACGATGGAAGCTAGCGATCTGCGATCTCGAACTAAAAGCCCGGTTGTACCGTGCGCACGGTACAGCCGGCTGTAGGATATAATATGCCGCTAGGCATGGCCAATTCTGTTAATTTTAAACTAAACTTTAAATTATAGCATACACAAGGAGTATATAATAACTCAATATTTAATACGGAGTAAGAAATTCGTAATAGGCATATCTCAAAATATTGATTGTCTAGCACTGGAAAATCAAAGACTAACAATAATATCAAGAGAACATAAAAAACAATGATATGTCGATAAATGTTTGTCACTAACAAATAAAATTTCATATTCTAATTAGTTCGACTTATTTAATTCAGTTCACTACAAAAAAAATGTGTTTAACAAAGTTTTTTTATAGAGATTTGCCAAAATTCATCAAGAATTTGGTAGGAACGTGTAAAATATATGTAAAAAAAATTGTCACAAATTATTTGACACGAAGTCATCTATCAAATCGTTCCAAATCCATGTTTTTTTGCAGTGGTTCCATATTAAAGTAACAGAACCCAAATGGAACCAAACAATTATGTTCGATTCAGATTTTTGCATTTGCTTGCAATTTAATACTAATATAGTTTAGTTGCTGTAATTTGATTCGGTTTGCCGCACCTAGTAGCAATAGGCATTTTACAAATGGACGCACTATATTACCTGAAGTCGGTAACATCTTTACACTCGCAGACTGTAGAACAACAGCACCATTCCATCATTTGCTTTACGTAAAACTCTCTGGCACCAGCTTCCCGGCCGGCCCAGCTCTTCCCCTAGCTCTCTCTAATCTTTCAATTATTGAGGTATATCATTTATACGCTATTGATCTTCATTCTTCTCTAGCTACTTCAATTACCTCAAACCCTTAACATCAAATCATGATATCCAACTTACTTTTTATGCTCTTACCATGGCTTTATATTTAGATCTGACCGAAATGGGAGAAACCCATCTATATATACACGTCTTATTTTAGTTTTTGCCCAAGTCTTGGCCTATTCCGGCCGATTTAATTAGTATTTCAGTTCTAAAACTGTACATTTTTATTTATATCAAGCAGATTTGATTGAACATTCTTAAAAAATGTTGGTAGCCTACGTGATAGTAATGACAACATTCTTTTTCTTTAATTTTAAACTAGATTTGAGGAGGACATATTCAAAAAAATTCATCATGAATTGTCCCAAACGGTTGCGTTCGCACAGACAAGTGCCGAACATGAGCACCTCTCTCTATATATTATACGGAGTATATATATGCTCCCCTAGATACATGTTTTACTCCATAAGTCGTAATCTTATCTACTCCATTAGATAAAAACAAAGATGACACCCCATCCCTGAGGCTCCCAACCCCGATCGGACGGTACATTGGGAGGATGTAAATTGGACTATAATCCCAATATGACAGATAGAGAGTGAGACTCTGTCCCCGGTACTTGCAGAGGCCCTATGCATTTTTAGCATAGTAATCCCTCATCGCAGTTGACGTGATTCGAACCCGGGATCTAACCCTTATGACACTCCCTTGCTACTCCATTAGATACTCCCTCCGTCCCTAATCTTTCTCCCTTTTCGGCTGGGCACATTTATTAAGATAGTGGGATTTGTGTGGTGGAGAATTATGCAGAGGAGAGAGAAATGTGTAAGAATGTGTAAGAATGGTTGTGAACCACAAATTTTTTGCTAAAGGGGGGAAGAGGAGATAATTTTGGGACGGACGAAAAAGGAAAGTTTGAAGATAATTTAGGGACGGAGGGAGTATAAACTACATATGCACTCAACATGGTCCATATATATTTAAATTCGTATAATATTTGAAGTCCAGATGTTTAGAAACAACTTTAGCCCATTTGGTGACTCTATTTTTCGACTTATCCGTCAAGTTTTTCATCAAACACATAACTATTGATATTGTTCGTTGAGTGTGCATTAATCAAAATAAGTAAGATTGAAATTACTTTTTTGGCTACATTGGCCGAAGTTTATGTAGATCGTCATTTTAGCTATTTTTCATATATATTTTTTATTTCATTAATAAAAAATATTTTAAATATAATTATCCCATAAATCAGAAAAATCAATCAATTCAACCAATTAAGTCAAAGTTCACAAATTTAAATAGAATTAGTCGATTCTGATAATTTCAATGTTACCAAACGGGCTTTAGATCTAGGGAAAGTGCCCAAAACAAGAGTAAATGAGATTTGAAATTCCAAAATATGACTAATATGTTTTTCTTCCCGAAATAGGAGTTGTTAGTGTCATGCATGAAAAATACTGTCATGATTGAAAAATACTGTCATTAATTATACTCCAACTATTTGGCATGCGACGCCTACAAGATGATAGTAAACACTGTCATGTTAGACTCATTTCGGGAATAAAAACATAATAATCCTATTTGAGAATTTCAAACTCCGTTTACTCCTATTTTGGTAAATCGATTAAAACACAATTGATTGATTTTCAATTAACTACTCCTCCATTCTTCCGTTCTAACTAAGACATTTATAAATAACAATTTAATTATCATATATTAAAAATGATACGATTATAACATCATACTACCTCCGTTCTTAAATAAATGCAACACTTTGACTTTTACACTATTTACATGTTCTACTTTGACTACGTTTTATTTATTAATGTAATAATATTATTTTATGAAAAAAATATTGTTAAACTTGTCTAATTGTAAATTTTCATAATCTAATTTTTTAAATTTTTTTTACTAATTCAAAATCATTTATGTTAATGGTCAAAGTTGTGTCTCGGCAAGTGTGAAATGTTAACCGTTACATTTATTTAAGAACGGAGGAAGTATATTCTTATTCACGTACCTTTTACCTTTTTATGTTTCTCCGTATATACCATCAAAAGTTTAAGCCGAGACCGAAATAGTATAATCGAAACTTTATTAGCAGTTCTTGTCTTTCAACTCACACTAGTATGCTCGCGCGGTTTAATTCCAATTTTTGGGAGTCTGGTAATGACTTCATAAGGTATCATGGCAAATAATAATGTCATTATTACAATCACTTATTTTCTTTGGAGGGAAGCCCCTAATATAATGAATGGTGGTGAGGATGTTATGACACCCTATATCAATATAAAAAAACACAGGATTGACACTGAAATTTTGCATGAATTTACAGATTTTTCATGCCAAATAGCTCGTGGCAAAGTGTTTTTGGCACCAATTCGGCATATCCCTACTAAATCCTTCTTTATTTTTTTTCAAATCCCTACCAAAATTCCTGTCAATTCTAGATTTTTTTTTTGTGGTGATAGAGTCATATAGGGCTCTATAAAACTACTCTAATTTTTTAAAGTTTTATATGACTCCATATCATATCATGACAACATGACATGGAGAAGTTTTATGGAGACTTATATAACTCTCAGTAATGTGGGTATTGTGAGTTTGTGACATATTAATAACCACACAATTTTTGAGTGGGAGACTAGCTCCTTTAAAAAATGACCGACTATAGATATGCTACAATACCCCCCTATGACTTCATATGGATATCTTTAAATTTTTAATACTCCGTATGATATCACCAAAATCACTCATTTTCTTTGGAGGGGAGCCTATCCTACTAAAACTATGAGTGATTGATTGTAAGGATTGTGTTGTGATACCATTTATCACTCCACATATAGGGCTCTATAAAGCTACTCCATCCAATTAAATTAGTGAGTTACCATTATGTGATCTATTTTTGTTTAAATTTAATGACCATCATTAAAAAAATTCATGTGGTTTGCAGGCTGCTATGGGTGGGGAGAGTTCAGCAGGCCGGTGTTGTCCGTTGGACTGGCTTGGTCATACATTTTCAATGTCAAAGCCAGAAACTAGGTTTTCATATTAATTAAATTAAAAGGTGAGCGAGAGAAATTTTCTGGGTAGATACCAATTACCGCATAAGCTTGTTCACAAGAAAATTAAGGTTTTCAGTTTCTTTAGCCAAATTAGATATATATATTGAATATATATATATATACACACACACACACACGCCGTATATTAATCAGCCCCTCCCTCTCTAATACGAAGTATGTAGTTTTTATGGTTATGGATGCTCTATATATATGCAGTACTCATGACCACGGACGAACCTAAGAGGGTTGGGAGGCAGTGATCCCGGAAGCTAGTTTTTAAAAAAAGACATACAAGTAGTTGTTATAATTTTTTTTGATAGTTATAAGTGTAGCAAAATACAAATTACATATGAGATCTACTATTGCTGTAAATTTTGTATACTTGCTCGTTATGCTTTACAAATTCAATGAGACTTGTATATTTTTTACAAATTTCATTGATAGGTTAATTAAATTTGTAACCCATATAATATTGTACTCTCAGCCTTGATACTACGTATATAATATCAATCCAGGTAACATAGCATTCATTGCTTGTCATCAGGATTCATTTTAGGATGTACTACCTCCGTTCCCATTTTAACTTCCAAATGGGTTTGACACAAAGTTTAAGATAATAAATATTGTGTGGTGGAGAGTTGTGCAGAGGAGAGAGAAATGTATAAGAAATGATGTGAACCACAAATTCTTTACCAAAAAGGGAAAGTGGAAGTTTTAATTGGAACGGACGAAAAAGGAAAGTTGGAAGTTTATTTAGGAACGGAGGGAGTATAAATTATAAACCCAAACTGCGACTTTCCATATATTTTGGGCTGATATTACAAAATTATACTCCGTATGTGACGGAGTAAATTAAAGAGTTATGCTTTTAGAGTTTTAGTGAATGGCTGCTACGCTTGATCCATGATTAAAATAATTTTGATGTTCTACTACGTATTTTTTATGACAAAATGTCCAAATTTTAATATGTATAAGCATTTTTTCCAAAGAGTTATAGGAAGTAATCAGTATGTTTTAGTTTATGTGGGCTGACGTTTGCCATGAACCATGAAGACGCAAAGATAACCAAATCTGCCCTGAGTGCCCTCAATGTACGTTAACGTTATAGGAGCTGGCCACGGCCAATAAAGGTGTTTTTACTTGAACCGTTTTCAGTCTTAGAGCAGATTTAAACAGACCAAATCGGCCAGATCTGATGTGCCTTCCGTACATACAAATTACACAGCTACCAGACGTTTATCAGACCAGACTTAAACAGTCCAGACTAAACCAAACCTGATCAAACCTGACCAACAAATTACAGTCCAAGTAAAATCATCCTAACTTTTTGTGATGTTCACAATCAAATGGAAATATGATATACCAACTTCCCTATGTTAAAATATGATAATGATGCATTTATCTAGGTAGTTATATCTAGAAATGTTCTAGAAAATTAATGCTAAAAAGGTTCTAGAGAATTCAATACTAAAGAATTCTTAAGGAGAGTCTACATTAATTAGTTGTAGAATACTCTAGATTCCTAGTATTTAATAAGGATCTAGAATGATCCTCTAGCACCTATAAATAGGACCTTATATACTCATTTGCAAACCAAGCAAACCAAGCAACATCAATAATTCAATACAATACTACTTTTCTAGAGACAAGAGCTCTACTCTAAAACACCTTCTCTACACTACACCTCACTAAAATCACTTAACATATTCATACACCAACAATCTTTTCTATTTTCTAACAAGTGGTATCAGAGCTTGTTCGATCATAAACGAGCGTTATGGCGACGTCAAACTTCTCAATATCGACTCCAATGTTCAATGAAGAAAGCTATATATGACTATTGGAGTGTCCGTATGAAGACCTGTCTAGAATCACATGACCTCTGGGATATTGTTGAAGAAGGAATCATCATGTCGGAAAAAGGAAGCGACGACGCATCAACTTCCGAGGTACGTAAGAAACAAAAGCAACAAAATGCTAGAGCTCTCTATCTTCTTCAATAATCCGTTTGTGATACTATTTTCCCAAGAATAATTCGTGCTACTACGGCAAAAGAAGCCTCAGATATTATTAAGGAGGAATTTCAAAAAAATGAGAAAGTTAGAACTATAAAATTACAAAGTTTAAGAAGAGAGCTCGAAAATTTATAGATGAGAGAATTTGAGATGGCAAAAGATTATTTCTCTAGGGTTATACATATAGTCAACGAAATGCGAACTCTTGGAGAAAACATAACCAACGAGAGAATATTCTAGAAGGTCTTAATTAGTCTCCCTGAAAAATATGATCCAGTAGTTTCGGCTATTGAGGAGTCAAATGATCTATAAAAAATGTCCATCAGTGAATTAATGGGGTCGCTAGAAGCACGTGAGCAAAGGCTGAACAAACGACATGAAAGTTCATTAGAAAATGCCTTCCAGTCTAAGCTCAACATTAAAAGGAATGACTAGAGAAATGGTGGAAACTTTAAACCTCATAAAGATGGGAATTCTAACAACAAGGAGAGGAAGATGAACTTTCCACCATGCAAAATATGCAAGAAGACTAATCACTTAGAGAAAGATTGCTACCATCGAGGAAAGCCACATTACAGAAATTGCAAGAGGTTCAGGCATGAAGAAAAAGATTGCAAAGATAGAAGAAACTATCAGGCTAACTATTCTGAAGATTACAAGGAGAAAGAGTACATGTTCTACGCATGTCACTCAGCAATAGAAGCAAAAGAAGAACAGTGGTGCATCGATAGTGGATTCAGCAATCACATGACATCCAACGAGACCATCTTCCATGAGTTAGACACCTCTATCAAGACAAAGGTCAAGATGGGCAATGGCGATTTGGTGGAGGCAAGAGGGAAAGGTACCATTGTCATTGATACAAAGAAAGGTACGCGTTTTATTAGAAACGTTCTCCTAGTGCCCACACCTTGCACAAAATCTACTAAGTGTTGGTCAAATGATGGAAAGTGGATATGCCTTACACTTTGAGAAAAATTCTTGCCGAATTTATGACAAGAATAATAATCAAGAAATTGCTGAAGTAAAAATGGGAAATAATAGAAACTTTCCCATTCAATGACAATATCCACAAAAGGCGATGGTGGCTCAACTGAGTGATACGAGTCTATGGCATCGAAGATTTCGGCACTTCAATCTCAATGCCTTGAGATTACTACACCAAAAGAAGATGATGAGAGACATGTCACTATTGGATGAAAAAGAAGGAGCATGTGAAGGATGTATGGTAGGGAAGCAGCACAAGCAACCATTTCCAACAAAGAAAACATGGAGAGCCAAACAGATACTAGAGCTTGTCCACATCGATGTTTGCGGTCCAATGCGCACGCCTTCAGTTTCGAAGAACAAGTACTTCATACTCTTCATCGATGATTACTCAAGGATGACATGTGTGTATTTTTTCCAAGAAAAATCCGAAGTCTTTAGAATATTCAAGAGATTCAAGAACTTCGTGGAGAAACAGAATGATCATCAAATCAAGAAGTTGAGAAGCGATCAACTAACAGTAGCATACACTCAGTCTACCTACTCAATCGATGTCCAATTAAGGCCGTTCTGAACAAAACATCTATTGAGGCATGGTCGGGACAAAAGCCTTCAGCCAAACATTTAAAGGTGTTTGGAAGCATATGCTACATCCACGTTCCATCCGTAAAAAGGCACAAGTTAGAAGATAAAGCAGAGAAAGGTATCTTCCTTGGCTACAGCTCCAAATCCAAAGGATATCGAATCTACAATCTCGAGACAAAGAAGTTGGTGACAAGTCGAGATGTGGAGTTTGACGAGCAAGCCTCTTGGAATTGGGAGACAGAAAAAGTTGAAAGAAAGACAACTACTTCCCAACTAGAGGAAATACCAGAAGAGGAAAATCACGATCAACAAAGCCCCACATTTACTTCAAGATCCTCTTTGAAGCTAATACATCAAGAAATCACGACTCCTCGCCAGAGTCCCCACCTCTTCGGGTAAGAACTCTAGCAGACCTATATGAGTCTACTGACATCTATGAAACATGCAACTTTTGTTCCTTGGGGCCACATAGTTACACTGAAGCCTCCAAAGAAAAAGTTTCGATTAAAGCAATGGAGGAGGAGATCAAAATGATAGAAAAGAATGATACTTGGAAAATGGTTGATCTTCCACATAACAAGGAGGTTATTGGAGTCAAATGGGTGTACAAAATGAAGCTGAACCCCGATGGCTCAATTCAGAAACATAAGGCAAGGCTGGTTGCAAAGGGGTATGCTCAAATACCGGGTGTTGACTACACAGAGACGTTTGCACCAGTTGCTCGGATGGACACCATAAGAACACTCATAGCTCTTGCACCTCAGAAGAAATGGAAAATCTACCAGCTAGACGTCAAGTCAGCTTTTCTAAATGGAGAACGAAGAGAAGAAGTGTATGTGGAGCAACCAGAAAGATTCATCAAAGAAGAAGGAAAGGTTCTTCGTCTAAAGAAAGCGCTTTACGGGCTCAAACAAGCTCCACGAGCCTGGTATATCAAGATTGATAGATACTTCACCCGTCACGGTTTCAAGAGAAGCTAGAATGAGGCTACGCTATACATCAAATCCCAAGGTAAATCTGACATTCTCATCGTCTCTCTATATGTTGATTTAATTGTCACGGGAAATAATTCAAAATTAATTGAAGAAATTAAGAGAGACATGATGAACACTTTTGATATGAGTGACTTGGGAGTCTACAGATGCGTCAAAGCCAACAGATCCTACCAATTACCAGAGTTTGATTGTATTCCTAATGAAAAATTGAAGAAAGAAGATGCGTCAAGGCCGACAGATGCTACCAATTACCGGAGTTTGATTGGGAGTCTACTCTACTTAACTGCTACGAGGCCGGACATAATGTATGCTACAAGCTTGCTCTCAAGGTTCATGGAGAGTCCTACTGAGACTCACTATGGAGCGGCAAAGAGACTCCTTAGATACCTACAAGGAACCACCAATCATGGTATTTGGTACAAAACAAGTCCTGACTCACGACTAACTGGATATAGCGACAGTGATTGGGTTGGATCACAAGATGACATGAAAAGCACCTCCTGTTATGCATTTAAGCTCGGTTCGGGAATTTTTTCACAGGGATCAAAGAAGAAAGATTCCGTCGCACTATCATCAGCAGAAGCCGAGTATGTTGCAGCAGCCGGAGCAGCTTGCCAAGCTATATGGCTGAAAAGAATATTAGAAGACATGGGAGAATTGCGAAGTTTTGCGATAGAGAAATTTTTGCGGCAACAAGTCAGCTATTGCGATGGCTAAAAATCCAGTTCAGCATAATCGCACTAAGCACATCGATATCAAGTATCACTTCTTGAGAGATGTCCAAGCAAAGGGGCATATTGAGATGAGGTACTGCCCAACAGAAGAACAATTGGCAGATATTTTCACGAAGGCCATGACAGATTCCAGTTTCTGCGAAGATTGCTTGGAGTTACCGACAAATGCATCAAGGAGGAGTATTAAATAATGATGCATTTATCTAGAATATGCTATGTAGTTATATCTAGAAATGTTCTAGAAAGTTAATGCTAAAAAGGTTCTAGAGAATTCTATACTAGAGAATTCTTAAGGAGAGTCTAGATTAATTAGTTGTAAAATACTCTAGATTCCTAGTATTTAATAAGGATCCAGAATGATCCTCCATCACTTATAAATAGGACCTTATGTACTCATTTGCAAACCAAGCAAACCAAACAATATCAATACAATACTACTTTTCTAGAGACAAAAGCTCTACTCTAAAACACCTCCTCTACACTACACTACACCTCACTAAAATCACTTAACATATTCATACACCAACAATCTTTTCTATTTTCTAACAAAAATACACATCTACCAGACGTTTATCAGACCAGACTTAAACAGTCCAGACTAAACCAAACCAGATCAAACCGGACCAACAAATTATAGTCCAAGTAAAATCATCCTAACTTTTTGTGATGTTCACAATCAAATGGAAAATATGATATACCAACTTCCCTATGCTAAAATTTGAAAAAATCTACATAATATGTCAACATATTCTGTGTACAGTTGATTTGCAATAGGACTTACGAAGTATATATTTAAATGTAGTAGAATTTCTTTAGCCTTTGCTATATACATTTAACTTTTCCAATTAAGTACTACCTTCGCCCCAAATTATTTTGCAAAGTCAACATTTTTTATTAACCAATATTAAAATTAAATCCTCCACGATGATAATCAATTCAATTTTAATAATTAAAATTTCCATATTCAGAAGCTATATTAAAATATCTACAAAGTTGCAAAATTCAAATTAAAATTTAATTATGAATTGATATCCTATTTAAGTGAATAAAATGAGTGTTTGATTGAAAATAGTCAATTTTGTAACTCAATTTGGGACGGAGGGAGTATAAACTACGGAGTAATGTTCATTCGTGATCCTTGATCAATTATGCAGTATATTTTTAGTAATTTGGTTATGTTGGCAATTTGGTCGAGTCATTCTTTTAATTATAATTTCTTTTAATTTTACTACAAGGACTTTCCAAATGACAATGTAAATTGCTACCGCCGTAAAACATTTAGAACCAGTTTGATGACTATGTTTTCGGCTTTTCAGCTTTATCAATTAACTTTTTTATCAAACGCGTAACTTTAGATTTGACACGCTGAATTGTGTACTAATGAAAATAAGTAAGATTGAAGATACTTTTCTGGCCACATTAACTGAAGATACTATAGATAATCATCTTAGCTATTTTCAAATATTTTTTAATTTATGTTATTAATAAAATATATTTTAAATTTACTTTTTCATAAAATAGCAGAATCAGACACTTCAGTCAGAACTTCATAAATTTCAATAGAATCTGTCGATTCAGTAAATTTCAGTGTTACCAAAACTGATTTTGTGTGAAAAAATGTATTAGAGTTAAATAATCTTATTTTTATTAAAACGGTGTCACGTAAATATATTCAATTTTATTTAAGTAACAGTTAAATCTCATCAAGTAACTTTATCTATTACTATGATTCAAGTATCATTCTAACGATCAAATCAAACTGATAGAAGAAATAAGCGAAAATTTTGTACTTCGTATGTTGATTTTGTAAATTATACAACGTGAGTGTGGCATGATTATATTTAGAATGCCCGCAAGATGGTCATTTGTTAGACGTCGATTATCAAAAAATTGGATAAAATTTTATCAAAAAATTCTATCCGAAATCCCCTCAAATAGAAGACAGTCAGATGACGATTCATGTCTACCGAGAGGAGCGGTCCTCCAAAAAAAATTAACACAATAGAAAATGCCTCTTTTTATAGGAAGGTAGTTGTTGTACGTAGTATTAATTTTTTTAATTAATACATGTGTGCTACGCAATATTCAATTTACGCCCTTTTATTGAATAGACCTGGACTTTTATTTGATCTTTATTGTATATATATTATTTTCATCATGTTCTAACAGAAAATGAAATTCATAATTTATTTATTATGGCAACAGTAATGTCTGCCGCATCTGTCAATGGACCAAGATTTGAAATCAGTGATCGTGGGAAAGAAATAATTGTGCAATTGTTAGAAGATAGAAGGAGACTTGAAGAGTTAAAAACTTATATAGATCAACTTCGGATGGAATTTGATGGGAGAGTTGAACAAAAGACCGCTATCTATCAAGCAGAAAAAGAACGTCATAAGTTAATAGACAAAGAGGAAAAAAAGGAGGACAAACTAGCCAATCAATTTGACTTGTCAAATGAGATTATACAAGATAACGATGCTTTACGATCTTTCGTGCCTGAGTACTTTCCACAGTAGTCACTACAAGACCTAGGGCCTTGGTGGGAGTTCGCCTATGATTTCCATTCCGAACTTTAGTATTAATACTTATGATGAAATAAGTACCCCTATCTGAATAAAAAGATGTAACAATTAGATAAGCAAATAATTTTGTCAAAGAGGATATGAAAATTGTTGTGAGTTATGTAAACGATCACCAAATTGCGATCGAGAAGTCCCTTGCAGTTAAATATGTTGTTGACAAGTTCAGTGCACTTTCTTTGAAATGTGTCATTGATGAGTTTTTAATAAATTAATATGAATTACCTTTGTCCAAACTCCAAAGTTAGATGTCAAGATGATTCTTCTTCTAATATGCAGGTGAGTTGTATGGGCTTATCTTGATTAAAAGTTCATACACAATTGCAATTGGTCATTGTAGAATTTGCATAGAAAAAAAAGTATGTGAATGATTTCTTTGAATATATTTACATGTTAAGCATGTTTTGATCCTAAACATAAGTTATCTAATCTTCATTAGCCAAATCTACTAACCATTTCAGAGTTACATTCATGAGAATAGGGTGAGATTCCTATAAGAAGAAGCATTTATGTGAGAAATGAAAATAAATCTTAATTCTTGTTGGATTTGACTATATTTCCGTTCTTCAAAAAATGGGCGCTTGTAGCCTTTTCGGGAAAGCTACGAAAGATACTCTAGCAGGAATTAATAAGAACGAATATGCAAAGTGTAAAGGAGGTTTAGTTCCCTTTAGTTTATCTTTGTATATGAAAAGTGTACTTTTTTGCTCTAAAACAGAAAGAAAGAAAGAAAGAAAGAAAGAAAGGGAAAACGAAATCGGAATTCCAGGTGATTCATTAGGTCTTCCGATTTCTGTTTGGCAGATGACGACTTCTTAGGTGATTCATTAGGTATTTCGATTTCTGTTTGGTATCGTTGTTCTTGCTAGGATCTGTGACGGTAACTCTTCCAATTTTGACATCTCTCCACTTTAGGGAAAACTGTCAATTGCGCCCTCCTACTATGCGCGATCCGTCAATGGAGTCCCCGTACTTTGGAAACCCTCAATTGAAACCGCCAACAATGAAAATCCCGTCAATTAGGTCTACATAACCGGATGCTTCCCGGTTAGCCCGTTGCTCGCTCATGTGGCGCTGACGTGGACATCGTACATTGAGGGTTCCATTGCTGACATGGATTAAAAAATTTCACATCAGTTAATGACTCTATCCTTTCCCAAATAACACCGATGTAGCCCTAATTCCTTCCTTAATTCGAATTCGCATGTGTATCAAAAGCAAACCATCTAAGCACTCTTTAAGGTTGTTCATCCATTTTGCTTCGTCGACTTGAATAACAGATACTCCAGGTTAGTGCTTTTGTGTCTGTTTAACTTTGTTGCTTCAGTTTAACTTTGTTATGATTTCGCTTGTATTGTTTCTCACTGGTTCCATCAGCCCTTAGTCTGGTTTGAATCTTTTCAAATGTACAGCATATTCGACAAGGTGGAACTTATAATTCACCATGGAGGCAATTTTAAGTGTGTTCCTGAATCAATGTACGTTGGTGGTCAAGTTGATGTGCTGCAACACATAGACCCAGATTTGATTTGCTATCCTCATTTAATGAAGTGCTTAAAAACAGGAAGGTATGGTAACATTAAGGCTTTCTATTACAAAAAACCTAGCCAGTGTATGAAATCTTTAAGAGAGCTATTTGATGATAAGTCAACCCTAGATTTGATACGTCTGGCTACTAGTTGTGGTAAGTGTGATATATTTGTGGAGCATGGGTTAAATGAAGTGGAAGAAATAGGTGGGGAGTATGATGGAACTACAAACAAAGAGGGTGAAGAGACAGATTATTCATGGAAGCCAGAAGAAGCTGACACAGATGACTCATTGATGGAAGACGCATCTGAGACAGATGATAGTGAACATGAAGAGATAGAAAATGAAGGATTATTTGATAATGAGGTTGCATCTGATCACACTGCTACACAAATGGGGGGAACCAGAGCTGAAGACAGTGAAAATGAGGAGGTTTCCACAGAGTGTGACTCATCTAATCCCAATAGCTACATGACTGAGGAAGAGGATGATGATGGGACATCTAAAAGGGCAAGCAAAAGGTATGGGTCATTTAACCCTGAATCTGAGGTCCCTAAATTTGAAGTAGGGATGTATTTTGAAGATGGAAAGCAATTTAAGAAAGATGTGATTAAATATGATGTATTTGAGAAAAGGGATTTGTATTTTAAGAAAAATGAACCTCGGAGAGTGAGAGTAAAATGTGGGGAAAAGTGCCCCTTTTCTTTAACTGGTTCATGGGTTGAGAGACTGCAGTGTTTTCAAGTTAAAGTTTTCAAGGAGGGACATAATTGTAACTTGAGGTATAGGCTTAGAATTGTTTGCACAAAATGGGTGGCTGACATGTATTCAGACAAAGTTGCTGAGAATCCCTCTATAGGTGCTGTGGAATTAAAAAGGCTAATCAAGGCTGAGTATAAACTAAATGTGTCTGAAAGCATGGCCTCAAGAGCTTTGAAATGTATTGAAGAGAAAAATGAAACTGCTTTTAAGGAGCAGTTCAAAAAAATTAGGAACTATGCAGAGGAATGCCTTCAATCCATTCCAAACAGCACTATTATCATATCAACTGTAAGAGTGGTTCCTGATGCACCTAGTGTTTTCCAGCGCATATATGTTTGCTTTGGGCCTGTGAAGAAAGGTGTTCTAGAAGGGTGTAGGAAGGTAATTGGTGTGGATGGATGCTTTTTAAAAGGACAAATGAAGGGAGAGATATTGAGTGCTGTAGGTAGAGACACAAATAACCAAATGTATCCAATAGCTTGGGCCGTGGTTGAGATTGAGAACACCTCTTCGTGGACTTGGTTTTTGGATTTGTTGTATAAGGACTTGGATGTTATTGCCCCAGATGAGTGGACCTTCATCAGTGATCAACAGAAGGTGAGATCATATATTTTTGTTCTTTCTTTGTATTTACAAGTAAAATATGCAATTCACTCTTGTGTTTGCTGTTCTTACCTTCATTGTTTAGGGCCTAGCCAATGCATTGAGCAGAGTTTTTCCAAACGCTGAGCACAGAAACTGTGCAAGGCATATTCACGCAAATTGGAGCAAAACTCATCGAGGCATGAATCTGAAAAAAACTGTTTTGGCTGTGTGCAATGTCTACATGTGAACGTCAATTGGAAGCAAACTTAGCAGAGTTGGATAAGGTTAATGTTCAAGCTGGTAAAGACTTACGCAAATATCCATTCAAGTTGTGGTGCAAAGCTTTCTTTAGGGATGCAGTGAAATGTGACATAGTTGAGAACAATCTCTTAGAGGCCTTTAATAGCACACTCTTAAAATGTAGATCCAAACCTCTCATCCCAATGCTTGAGGACATCAGAGTGGCAACCATGAAAAGAATAGCCAAGAAAAGGAAATATGTTCTCAAGTGGCCAGGTAAAGGATGGGCAGAATACTTGGTGAAATTGAATATGACATATGATAACCTATGTATTCACATGTGCTTTTAATTATTTATAATGCAGGACCCTTTGGACCAATAATCATGAAGAAACTGAATGCTAACATTGTGGCAAGTGAAGGCTGGAATGTGGACTTCAATGGTGATGACGATTATGAAATAAAGAAAGGAAGAGCTCAGTTCAAAGTGAGTCTCCAGAAAAAATCGTGTTCATGTAGAAGGTGGGATTTGTGTGGCATCCCTTGTTCTCATGCAATTTGTGCAATCTATGACAAAGGGGAGGAAGCTGAGTCATATGTAGATTGGTGCTACAGTAAGGAGGTATACAAGAAAACGTACTCGTACACATTGCATCCAATAAATGGGGAGTTGTTATGGCCAAGAACTCAATTTCAAGAGATATTACCTCCTTTGCCCAAGAAAATGAGTGGCAGATCTAAGAAAAAACGAGTAAGGGAAGAAACAGAGCCACGTCCACCTACTGGCTCACAACTACCAAGAATAGGACGCATCATGACATGTTCAAAATGCAAAGAAGAAGGACACAATAAGAAATCTTGCACAACAACAGATGGGGCAGGTATGGAAGCAACTCCTAACACATCAACTCCTGAAGGTGCTGGTATTGTGGGTGCAGGTGCAACAGGAAGAAGGCCTAGAGGAGGTAGGGGTAAGAAGAGGATCAATAGAAGCAGAGAGCAATCTGGCTTTGGAGTTTATTTTGATGAAGCTACGGGTGAAACCATATTGGAAGTAAGTGAACTCCACAAATGCATTGTATTTGCATATGTCAGAATAATGCTTTGTTAACTGATCCACCTTTCTGATTTCAACTGCTTTGTTAACTGCAGCCTGGCCAGCCTGGAGAGACTCTGCTTGGATGAAGGAAGAAGGGTGCTGTGTGAAGATGAAGATGGTGTTGGGGTTGAAGATTGTGTATGATGTCATGAACTTGTGTGGAAGTAGGCTTTTGGTGGAACAATGGAACTTCTTATTTTGCTTGAATTTATGAATGTGTAAAACTTATGTTGGTTTGAAGTATGGATTTAAGTGTATGTTGATTTTAGGGTCCCTTGGTTTTATGCATGGGGTTTAAGTGTATGTCCTTGCCCGTATGTGTGGTCAGATGACCTGTTTTGGTTTATGACATATACTATTTGTGTGGTTGAAACTGAATGTTGTATTGAACAGCTAGTATGCATAATGGCTTTTGGACAACAACCTTTATGGCTTACTTTGTCAGCACCATGTGATATACAATCATTGTAGCCACATGTATTATTTACTTGAATGACATTCATGTTTGGGTTAATTTACAGGCCACATGGGTATTAAATGACAGATCTTGATAAGCACATGGGGTACACCCCTTTATGGTAACAAGAATATTAAAGAAAAGGGACTGCTTAGATGACTAATCTGAACCAAAACATGTGGTACCAAAATAAGCATTTTCCAACCCTCAATGACTAATATAAAGTGCAAAAGATGGTTCATATTCAAACAATACTTCAAACCATAAGGCCACACAAAGTCTTTACAAAATAAAAGTGAGTTCTAAGCATCCTACATAACTTCTAAACCAACACACTACTTAAAT